ATGTGAAGAGCTGTCTAAAACGACTTTAGATTCCTTAAACTGCGAAAAATCTATGTAACTGAAAAAAAACTATTTATATCTACCATTTTCACAAACAAAAAACTTAAAAAAATCTCTTTAAAATTTTGTAAAGTCTCATTACCGTTAAGCAACGTCGCTAAATACTTAGCTCAAAAAGAAAGAGTGTAACTTTAAAAAATTCAGACTAAACTGGCTATTGGGAAAGAAGTCCTCCCTCTCCTTAGACGGTAAGATTCTAATTTACAAACAAATCATAAACAACTCAGAAAGTTAAGTCAAAGGTCGAAGTGTCGTCAAAAGGTTATTTCAGTTAAAAATATGTTTGATGTCAGCGAGATTGTGAAAATGCCGGAAGCATCTGGTCTCCCTGAAAAGTTAGATCGAAATTTCAGAGCTGCAGGTTTTCAAGCTATTTATGAAAACCGGTTTAATAACAAATCATTGTTCACTAGACTGAAGAGTAAAGACCCTGTTGAAAAAGTATCAAACATAATTTACCAACTGCAGTGCAAGGATTGTGAGGGCTCTTATGTGGGTCAAAGTAAAAGGTATCTCAAAGAACAGATTAAATCACATATGTATGATAAGAATGTACACTGGCACGCTTGACTGTTTTCCTATATAATTTTATAATTTCAGCAATAGTTGTATTTTTCATTTTTGCAACCATGTATTTGCTTGTTCGTCTTGTCTCGGTCCTTTTTATTGAAGTGGTCTTTGTAATAGTTTTGATTGTTTTGTTAATTATCCACCGATGAAGACATATGTGCAATGTCGGAACGTCTGGTGCGTAATTTTTGAATTTTCCATCTTGTTAACAATAAAATCTTGGAATTTTTTAAAAAAATTCCCTGGTTTTATTGCCGTAGTACAATTCTATTTGCTTATTTGCTTTGGATGATTGTTATGCATTTATGAAAAAATGCCAATACTCACTCTAATATATATTCCGGAGACAGTTCGGTCTGGCGGCCTTTAAGCAACCGATTTTGGCCACCAGACCTACTGATCCTTACTCAGGAGGATTTTCCGCGTAAAATGAGCCCAATAACAAGTGTGTTTGTTGTATTATACAAAATAAACTACTTATAAACCATGCATTGTACTTCATAGTACATTGATTAAATGGCAGTAATAGCAGCCTGCCAGGCCACAGCTACCCCCCCCCCCCCCCCCAAGCACCAAAAAATACAGCAACAGAAGTAATAGCATCAAATTAAGAGCAAAATAATTTATTTATAGTACATTAATAAATGATTGTAATAGCTGCCAGCCAGGCTGCCCCCTCCCCCTACCAAGTCCAAAACAGAAAAAAACAGCAACAGAAGTGATAGCAGCCCGCCCCACCCCGGCCGAAAACAAAAAACAAAACAAAAAAAAAGGGGAAATAAGGTGAGTAAATAAGACGGTAATCAAATATAGTAGGAGCATTTTTATCAAAGTTCGGTACCAGACATTTCAGCGGTTGCAAATCAAAACTGTGTGACTTTAATTACTGAATTCCTGAACAAAAGAGAGAGAAAAAATAGTAAAAAGTAAGTTGACCAGGCAACAAAGCCGAGTAAAGTGACGTCATACAATCTAAGTGTCGTCGGAAGGGCTGCGTAACCAAGACGACCATAGCTCGGTTAGCTGAGAAAAATAATAATGACAAATGCAAAGACCGCATAAGTGCCAGATGTCTCTTACGGGAGGGACGTTTATTAAAGGAATACTGAGGGGATTTTTGAGATGGAGTCTTATGACCCACGCAGTGACGATCCCTGACCTTCGCAATATATTCCAGTAAAATTTCGAAGTAATACACAGATTGGCCGAGGAGGAGATTTCGGACATACATACCCCGTCCGTTTTTTATATATGTATATCTTACGGGTAATCTAGTCAAACCGGGTAATGTCGGCAATAATTGACATAACCCAGGCCGTTTTGGTTAAGTTAGGTTAGATTAGGTTATAATACCCGCCATTCCACCCCTCAGTCGTCAGGGAGGGCCGCAGACGGGACCGGCTGGACCTGACCTAACCTAACCGAACCTAACCTAACCAAAACGGCCTGGGTAATGTCAATTATTGCCGCCATTACCCGGTTTGACTAGATTACCCGTAACACACACACACACACACCCTCACACACACACACACACACACACATATATATATATATATATAAATAATTTCCGGAGAAAGTTTGGTCTGGCGACCTTTAAGCAACCGAGTTTGGCCGCCAGACCGACTGATCCTTAGGACTCAGGAAGGTTTTCCGCATAAAATGATCCCAATATCAAGTGTGTTTGTTGCCGGTTGATATTTGAGCAATTTTCTTCCAGATTTGAATCGGTCTGGTGGCCCTTAAGCAACCGATTTCAGCTGCCAGACCGACTGATCCTTCCTTAGGAAGGTTTTCCGCATTAAATAAGCCCAATATCAAGTGTACATGTTTCTGGATAAAATCCGAGCAATTTTTGGGCTTTTTAGGGCCCTAAAACTTTCTTGGTGCAACCGGTTTGCCCTGCCTGACCTCCCGTTTCTTTTTCCCGACCAAAATCCGCTTCGAATGAGGTGGGTGGCAAATTAATATTCCCCTTAAATGAATCGTCATGAGCTTTCTGTCTACATACAAGGTTACGTGTTACAACGCTTTTCGACGATTTCTTGCTCTGCTTTTCAATTTTAATAATTAAATGGCCGAAAATGTGCTGTCTGTTACGACGACAAAACTATTTCAGTTATCGTGAAACCACCCGTGAAGGCAAAACAAACTTCCACCTGGTCAAATAGGGGTATCATCCCTGAAACAACATCTGTCTAATGCCCCGGTAAATTCCACGAAATTAATCCCCATTAATAAATTAATAACTTTTGGTGAGGCATCTAGACCCGTGACTTTAGACGCGAGCTTCCCGCTAGTAAATAATAAAATGGATAGCTGTTTGTGTGAAACAAAACTTTGTAAATCTTTAAAATTTGACATAGGTTGTAGAAAAGGTAGGTACATGGCAAAATCTGGCTTGCTTGGGCTAAAAGTAGTTACCTGGGTAACAATTTATTAAATCAAAAAGATGTCTTAGTACATATGATTTGCTTGCTTCCATGTGCTTCAAAGCAAAGAAAAGTCAAACTGCTCCCAATGATAGAAATCAAAATAGACATCCAGAGTGCACAAGCTCTTATTAAAAAAAAAAAAAAAAAAAT